AATGAAGATGTTAGTATGAAGTCATTAATATATAACTATTACTTCAAATATAAAGTCATTATCTAAATTAACTTAGTTAATGAATTATATGACAGCTTTCTGATTTTCTTTGAGTAAATGTGAATTAAGAAACTGGAAAAGAATTTGGAAATTAGTCCACTTAATTTTAGAAATGTAGAAACAGGATAGTTGTTGGCTTGGTCAAGGTCATAGTTTGTAAACTACTTTCCTGTTTCAGACTTAGCCTATTAAGCTCATGATTCTTATTAGGGAAGAACATTTGATCGAAAGAAAAAAATACATATACAGATAACACATAATACACATGTACATGTGCATATATATACAATAAATGTGTATATGTAATATGCATTTAATTTTGTTTGTTTTATTTTAGCCGGTCTTGGGGCTTCAACTCTGGGCCTAGGCTGTGCCCATGAGCTTCTTTTTTGCTCAAGGTTAATGTTCTACCACTTGAGCCACAGCACCACGTCCAGCGTTTTCTCAGTTTTATTGGAGATAAAAGTGTCTCCGACTTTTCCTACCCATATTGTTATTTTATTATTGACTGTATACATAGTAAGATTTTTTTTCTTTCTTTTTTTTTTTTTTTTGGTCCAGTCCTGGGGCCTGAACTCTGGGCCTGGACACTGTCCTTCAGCTCTTCAGCTCAAGGCTAGTGTTCTACCACTGGAGCCACAGCTCCACTTCTGGTTTTTTTCTTTTTTTTTTGCTTATGTGGTGCTGAGGCATGCAAGGCAAGTGCTCTACCACTGAGCCACCTTCCCAGCCCCATAGTAAGATTTTCTAATATGTGATATTCTCAGGAGTATATTCCCATGTTGTTTTCCCTTAATAGATAGTTTAACAAATGAATACAAGAAAGCTGAAACGTCTTTTCTGAGAGAAGATGAGACTTAAGGGGAGGGGGCAAATGAATGAAGTGAGGAAAGGTGTGCAAATACAGTCAATAATATTATAAATAGTATTATTATAGCATAATAATAGTATAAATAGTACTATAAATATAGTACTATAAAATCCTCTTAAGAAAAATTCTCAGAGGAGGCTACAATGCTTGATAAGAAATGTACTCATTATCTTGCCCATGTAATTGTAATCCCTCTGTACAGTATTTTCACAATTAAAAAAATATTCAAGATATAAAAAAAGAAAAATTCTCAGAATCCTTCTCAGTATATTGCTATTCATTAATTGGAATTGAAAACAAAGGTGTAATTTGTTTGATATTTCTGCAGTAGTCAGTATCCATCCATCCATCCATCCGTCCGTCCTTCCTTCCTTCCTTCCTTCCTTCTTTTTGTCAGTTTTAGTTTAAGGGGCTGTTTTATGCTTCAATGGCTCTTTTTTTTGGAAATTGCAAATTATATAATATATATATATTCTTTTTTTTTTTAACATGAATTAAATAGCTGATAATATAAGAACCTTTTTGCCTCCAAACAAATAAAACACAGTTAGCTAGACTGTTGGAATTAGTAATGACATTTTTTTTAAAGATTGAATAGCAGAACAAACACCTGTGGGCCAAATGTGACATAGAACTATTAATGGTTTTTGCATTTAAGGTTTGAAATTAAAAAAAAATTGTGAGATTAAAAAATACATGAAATTTAATTTTTAGTGTCCATAAATAAAGTTTTATTGGAACATAACCATGTTCATTCATTTACTGTCTATGGATGCTTTTGTGCTTGAACAGAGTTGAGTAGTTGCGACAGACCATATGGCCTGCAAAGCCTAAAATACTTACTGTCTGGACCTTTACAGAAAAAGTTTGCCATCTCTGTTTTAAGATAACAGTGTGGGCCGTAAATGCTTTTAGATTTTTTTTTTTTTTGGTAAAGGAGGAAAGTTAGTTTGCTCATGTTTTGAAGAAGTTTCTGAAAAGGGATAATTTCAAAAATTGCTACTGTTTTTGTACAGATAAGTAGTAGTAGAAATCCTGTTTTTTTAATAGAGCACAGTTGACATAGTTATCAACATAGTTTGTGTTACATCAGTTCATGCTTATTTCTTCTCTAGTTAAGGGTAACTTTATGACACCACTATTGTTAACTGATACTATCAGCTTATAATTATATTCTATGATAAGTACATTGTCAACATATTGGTCTCAGGATTAACTTTGGCTCTTAAATAATAAGATCCCTAGTTCATCAGTTCTTCTTGCTGTGACAGAATACATAGCACAAACAAATTACAAAGGATTTTTGTTGTTGGTTTTGTTTGCTCAAGATTCTGGAGGTTTCAGTTGAATTAGTTGGCTGGTTCCTGTGCTGTGGGCCTGAGGCAAGACTGAGCACCACGTGGGGAGAATATGGGGAGAATATGATGGAGCAAAATTAGTCACCTCATTGTTGCCAGGAAGTAGAAAGGCCAGTGACAAGATATATCTCCTCATGGTATACACTTGGTAAGCTACTTATCAATTGATTTGATCAGAGTCCTCAGGATCCAGTCACCTCTCATTAGTGTCATCCCATGGGGAATGAATCTTCAACATGTCCCCTCATAAGCTTTTTAGGGAACATTATAATCCAGACCACTCTCCTGGAGGGTTTTGTGTGTGTGTGTGTGTGTGTTTGGTGTGCATGCACGTGTATATACCTGCTCACATGCTGATACTGGGGCTTGAATTTATGGCCAGGGCACTGTTCTTTAGCTTTTTTGATGGCACTCTTATCACTTTTGCCTCAGCAGTACATCTGAATTTTGGTGGTTAATTGGAGATAAGAATTTCAGAGACTTCTGCCTAGGCTGGCTTTGAACTGTAACCTTCAGATCACAACCTTTTGAGTAGCTAGAATTACAGGCATGAGCCACCAGTGCCTAGCTTTGAAAATTCAAATTTTGTTATTGTTAAAAATATGTTCCATCATGCCTGGCTTCAATCCCTTTTTAGAAATTTGTTTTCCAAGTATTCTCTCTCAGTGGCTTAAAAAAAACTTTGCCCCAGAGAAGAATAGAAGTTTTTATTTTAATGAGGCTGAATTTTTCAGTGCTTTTATAGTTTATGTATTTTGTATTATAAGAAAATTTTCATAATCCAGGTCAAAATGATTTTCATGTTTCCTGTTGGAAGTTCAATAGTTTTAGGTTTTATTTTTAGACTTATTTTCTTTATGCTGCCTGAGATAGTAGTTGAAATCACTTTTTTGGCATATGAATTTTTACTTATATCAACATTAATTGTTAATGGTATTGAATTGCCTGGCAACTTTACTGTGCATCAATTGATCATGTATGTGTAAGTCTATTTCTAGATGTTCTTGTTCTGTCCTCTTGATGCACATTTCTGCCTTTTCACTGAAACCACTCTATTTGTTGCCAGAAATTTTATAGGAAGCCTTAAAACCAGGAGGTATGAATTCTTATTTGCACTTCTTTTCAGAATTATTTTGGGTACTTCAGTTCCTTTAACATAATATCTTCAGGGGCTGGGAAGGTGGCTCAGTGGTAGAGTGCTTGCCTTGCATGCATGAGGCCCTGGGTTCGTTTCCTCAGTACCACATAAGCAAAAAGAAAAAAGCCAGAAGTGGCGCTGTGGCTCAAGTGGTAGAGCGCTAGCCTTGAGCTGAAGAGCTGAGGGATAGCGCCCAGGCCCAGAGTTCAGGAACCACAACCAGAACCAAAAAAACAAACAAACAAAAAAAGCATAATATCTTTAAATTTGGTTGCATTATAGAATCTGCTACTATTAATGAACTTTTTGTCTTTTGTAACATTAAAATCTATTGAACTTTCTTGCACATTGAATGCATTTTTTGGTCCATAAATGCTTTTGTAGCATCACACATAATTCATTCATATAGTATTGATTTGTTGAATTTTATTTCTAAATATTGACTCATTTCAATACTTAAAGCTCATATTTGCTAATATTATCACTGATCTCATCAGAAAATTCTTTATATATGGGGAATCTTGCCATTAAGGTTTTCCAAAATTCTTACATTTTTGGATTTTCATTAACATGTATTGTGCAAAAGTTTCTTTATGTTATGTTAATAGAGTAGGGTTTGATTGAGTTTTATCCCCCCATCATTTCTAATTTCCCCTTTCATTTATAATTTTAAAGGGGTTTCATTATTCTGTTTTCATACACACATATAAAGCACTTTTATCATAACTCTAAATTATTCTTTCCTTTTACTGTTTTTCCAAATTATTTTTAAAATTTTACCTGATAACTTTTTTTGTTTTTCTTTTTTTTTTGGTTCAGATATTGGGGCTTGAATTCAGGGCCTTAGTACTATTTCCCTTAGGTTTTTTTTGCTCAAGACTGGAGCCCTCCTACTTGAACTACAGCTCCACTTTGGCTTATAGTGGTTTATTGGAGATAAGTTTTAGAGACCTATCTTGCTTGGGTTTGCCTGGAGTCTTGATCTTCACATCTCAGCCTCTTGAATAGCTAAGATTACAGATGTGAGCCACTGAGGCTTGGCTTTGAGAACATAAATTTTATTATTGGCACTGTATACTGTCAATAGTTTTTCTTGCAGTAAACTTTTGACACCATGTCTGCCAGATTTCCAAGTCTGAATAGCAATGGTTTGTTTAGTCTACAATTCAATCATACAAGGGCTTTCTCTTGAGGCAACTGTTCTACTTTACTGTGTAGATAGTGAAGAAATGTGTTTTCTTGGTTTGTATTTTGTCACATAAAATTTTGGTGTTTTATTAAAGAATTGTGTTTTTAAGAATTGACAATTTCTGCTGTCTTTCATCAAGGATTTTCTTAAGTGAAATGAAGCTGACACTGTCCAGAGAAATTGTGATAAAGATGTGGTTGCCAGATTATTATGATTGCTTTTATACTTAAAGTACAGTTATTAACCTGAAACATAAACCCAGAGTTGTAACACCCAGAAACAGTAAATTGTTAATATTTTAGGACTACCTGAAATTGCTATCTTGGGAGATAATCTCTTTAAGAATTGAGTTATATTAAGTTGCTGTTTTATTATCTTTTATAGGTGCTATACTTGGTAGATCGGAAACTCAGGAGTGTCTTTTTTTTAATGCTAATTGGGAAAGAGACAGAACCAATCAAACTGGTGTTGAACCTTGTTATGGTGACAAAGATAAAAGGAGACATTGTTTTGCTACGTGGAAGAATATTTCTGGTTCCATTGAAATAGTGAAACAAGGCTGTTGGCTAGATGATATCAACTGTTACGACAGGTAAGGACATTATTTTATATGATGACATTAAATTTTATTTTTCCCTCCTTTTGAAATGGGAAAGATCAAAACATGGATTTTCATGCAAATATTTCATGTTTTTTTAGAGATGGAATTATGAGTTATAACATATGTAAGTGATAGATATATATTTTAAAATAAACATAGTATGTTTATGTATTATTCTTGATATAGTTATAATCTACTAAGTAGTGGAACCATGGATAAAAATGACTTATTTTCCCATGTTATTGGGATCATAAACTTTTATCTAATTAAAAATATACTTTCTGTTGTATTTTTTTCCCGTTTCCCTCTGATTCTTCTGCACTGGACATTGATGAAAATGAACTAAGCAACTCAAAGGCAGCTATGGGAGGGAAGGAAGAAGGGGGAAAGAAGGAACAGCTAGTTGTACCTTTAAAGCTTGTATAATTCACAAACTTTATAGACCAAGATAATGACAGTTTGCCTTGTGAAGGTTAAAATGTGTTTGTTATTTTAACTAAGTATCACTATCTACAATACTGTGAAATTTATGTAGTCATTTAATCTCAAAAAATGATTAAAAAAATGCTTTCCAAGAAAGTATACCTGTTGGATAAAAAAAATTATCCTCAAAGAGAGTAAAACTTAATTGTAGTTATAATTTATTTTCAGGTTCCTTCATTATATATCTAGGAGAAATTGATTTTATTACATTTTGCCCTTCTTCCCCTTTTTTCCCTTGAAGTAGTCCTTTGTTTTTTACATGAACAGACTTTTGTGTTTTTATGTGCCGGTACTGGGGCTTGAACCAAGGCCTCAGTGCTGTCCTTGAGCTTCTTTTCCTCAAGGCTGACACTCAACCACTTGGGCCACGCTCTACTTCAGGCTTTTTTTTTTTTTGGAGTAGGGAGATTTAGTTTATTGGAGGTAAAAGTCTCATGGACTTTCCTGCCAGGCTGGCTTTTTGTACCACAATCCTCAGATCTCAGCATCCTGAGTAGCTAGGATTACAGGTACAAACTACTAGCACCTAGCTCAAGACATTTTAATTGGGCATTAAGAATTACATCAGGTGCTGGGAATCAGTGACTCACACCTGTAATCTTAGCTACTCAGGAGGCTGAGATCTGAGGATGGTGGTTCAAAGCCAGCCACCAGAAAACCAGAAGTGGTGCTATGGCTCAAGTGGTAGAGCCCTCACCTTGAGCTGAAGAGCTGAGCAATAGCATCCGGGCCCAGAGTTCATGCCCCATGACTGACCAAAGAAAGAATTACATCAGAAGCAGCAGCCATTATGAAGCTACAGTTTATTTAAAGGGTCTTGTTTAAGTTATTTCACAGAGTAAAATGAAGTGGTAATATTATTTTGACTACTTGAGATCTTTTAGTAAGAATTTCCATAAATGGAAACTGATCGATTATTTTCTTGGGCCATAGAATTTCCACTAGGGGTTGGAGCTGAAGACTGGCAAAGTCCTGCAAAGGCCCAGATAACAAGGCATTTTATAGCCAAAAAGTGGTGCTATATCAACCAAATACTAGATTAGAGCCTCAGTTGATTACCTGGAATCTGATTTCTTAGACATAGGTGATTGATATAAACATAAATTCAATAAGTGCTGCAAATAGCATTATGAACACTTTTTTTTAGGTGCTACTTCTTTTTAAAACATTTTATATTGTTATTATAAAAGTGATGTACAGAGGGGTTATAGTTACATTAGTCACGTAAAGAGTACATTTCTTTTTGGACAGTGTCACACCTTCCCTTGCTCTCTCCTACTTATTCCCTCCCATTCCCACCTGTAGGTTGTATAGTTTATTTTCAAAATAGTGTCCAGTGAGTATCATTACTGCATTTGTTCACCTTTTGTCCCTCCATTTCTGTACCTCCCCTTACATTCCCAAAGACATATAAATGAACATATGGAACAAAAAGGGAAGATAACAGAGCAAAAAAAAAAAAAAATCCCCAAAAACCCTTGGTTTCATTTCCTGGAGTTCATTTCAATAAATATTCAGATGCACATAGGCGTTGTACCTTTCTGTTCTCTCCTAAGGGTATTTTCCTTGAGACTCACTGTGTATGAATGCCTCGAGACTTGTGTAATTTATTATGTCCAGTATTTTAGATCTAGCTGCTGCATGAAAGAAAACATGCGCCATTTGTCTCTCTGAGCTTGAATTATCCCACTTAACATGATTTGTTCTAGGTCCATCCGTATCCCTGCAACTGACATTATTTTTTTGTAATGTCTGTGTAAAATTCCATTGTATATAGGTACCACATTTTTTGGATCCAATCACCTGTTGTAGAGCATCTGGGCTGTTGTTCTAACTTGGCTGTTGTGAATAGTGCTAGCTAATATACTTCATATAAGATATTAAACATAGCCACTCATATATAAATAAATGTGTATGTGTGTGTGTGTGTGTATAGATTTGGGGATCATCTTTGTTGAAAACTACCTTTTATTAATCAGTTGAAATATATATAATATATATACGTATATGTGTATATATGTATGTATATATGTATATACATATATATGTGTATATATATATATGGTGCTGATCCTGGCCTGGGAACTGACTCTGAGCTTTGTTTGTTCAAGGCTAGTGCCTACCACTTGAGATATGGATCCACTTCCAGCCTTTTTGGTGGTTAATTGGAGTTAAGAGTCTCATATAATTTCCTACCCACGTTGGCTTTCTTGGATCACAGCCTCTTGAGTAGCTAGGATTACAGATGCCCAGCATTTTATTTTATATTATTTTATTGGAGATGAATTCTCTTGGAATTTTTTGCCTGGGCTGTGTTTGAACTGAAATTCTCTGGATCTTAACCTCTTGAGTAGGAATCACACTTGTGATTCCTACTGGCACTTTTTTCCCTCACTTTTGGTTATAAAAGATCTTACCTAGCTAGGATTTTAGTTCTGTGAGACTCAAAGTATTCCTTGAAACAGGTAGTGAATCTTTCATTGGAGGTCTATAGAGTGTACTATTTAGTGTAAATGCTCAATTTTGGGGTGATATTTTAGTATACCAGCTGATAAAAAAGTATGTGAATTTTATTTTAATGCTCTAAGTTTGATTGAAAAACAAATAGTAAAGTTAGTAGGAGAAAGAAAGAAAAAGAAGATTAATAAATGATAAGATGTGGAAGAAAACTTGAATTTGTCTGTTTATATTTTCCTAAGTAGATATTAGTATAGATCCTGTTTGAAAGTTTGATTAAAACTCATTTCTTTAACATTTTTTCATCTTTTTACTTCAGAGTTAATCTGATCCATATTATTATTATTATTATTATTATTATTACTTTTTGTGTCAGTTCTGGGACTTGAACTCAGAGCTCTTCGACTATTTTCAGCTACGAACTTTCCTACCAGTGCTGGCTTCAAATCTTGATTCTCCAATCTCAGCCTCCTCAGTAACTATAATGAGCTGTATTATTGTTCAACATTTTCACTAAAGTTTAGTAATGTAAGTCTTTTGAAATCTACTTAATGTTTATAAGCAGTATTTAGAATATTGATCTTAAAATATAAGTATAACTTTCTTAGTGGCTGATAAAGCTTTCTTCTAGAAGTTAAATCAGTGTTTCATTGTGGGGAGTGGGAGTACTAGGATTTGTATTCAGGGCCTTGAGCTTGCTAGGCAGACACTTAACTACTCATGGCTTATTATCTGCATCCCTTTTTACTTTATTTTTTCAAAGAGGGTCTTGTGTTTATGCCTTGGCTATGTCTGGACTGCAGACTACAGTCTTACTGTTTATGCTACCTGCCTAGCTGGTTGACAGTTGTACACAGCCACATCAGCTTTTCATGATTGAGATCTTGCAGACTGTTGTTTTTGTTTGTTTGTTTGTTTTTTGTGCATTGGTTGAAATGGGTCCTTGCCCATACTGGCCTTTTGAATCTCAGTATTCCTGATCTCGGCTTTCTGATTAACTAGGATTATAGGTTGAACTATAATGTTAAATTCTTATCTTTGGTCATTTATAGAGGAATGCTTTTTTTTTTTTTTTTAAGGATTTTTAAAGTTCACTCTTACTCTAATCAATTTGAATTGCTAGGTTCTGTATGTTTCTTGTTCCATTTTTTAAAAATGTCATCCTTGTTCATTATGTTCAGGAAACTTAAATTTGCTATCAATTTTCCAGGCTAGTTTGGGTCTCCAATGTTGAAACATGTTTATGATATTGGATCACTTACTCTGTGTATGTGTATGAGTGTGTGTGCTTGTTTATATAGTTTTCAGTTCGTTCATTTGTTTGTTTTTGCAGTACTAGAGATTGAACCCAGGGCCTCAAACATGCTAGGCGATCACTCTGGTACTAAACCATATCTCAAGTCCTTAGTTTTCAGTTCTCATGAAATGAAAGAGCTATACTTCCTGTGAGCAAAAGCACCCCTAAACCAAATTACCTCGTTGACTTTATGTTACTCTTCATGCTTTTCTAATAAAAACAAATAAATAAATGGTTGCCTTAGAGTAATAATCCCAAGGAATGATTACTATAAATTCAGCTGTTTATTTTGGTTTTCTGAAGAGCTTAGTAATAAGAATGTAGGATCATTTTGGCTTTTAAGGAGTGATTATTATAAACTAATAAATGCAAATAACTTATTGTCTCTGAGAAGAAAATGACCTATTGTAGTGTTAGTATAATAATGTTGACTTTTTTTCTGCTTGTTTGTTTATAGGACTGATTGTATAGAGAAAAAAGACAGCCCTGAAGTATATTTTTGTTGCTGTGAAGGCAATATGTGTAATGAAAAGTTTTCTTATTTTCCGGAGATGGAGATCACACAGCGTAAGTTCCCAAGGAAGATAGTTGTTGGTTAAAGTAGTATATTGAAAGGAAATTATAATTCTGTTGTTGGAATAATTTACTAATATTTCTTTATTCTGGGTTTGTTTTTTCAAAACTTTGACACTGTAGTAAGTGTTAATAATAGAATTTTTATATACCAAATCTGAGTTGTTTTTCCTTTTCCACAGCCACTTCAAATCCCGTTACTCCTAAGCCACCCTATTACAACATCCTACTCTATTCTCTGGTGCCACTTATGTTAATTGCGGGAATTGTCATTTGTGCGTTTTGGGTGTATAGGCATCACAAGATGGCCTACCCTCCTGTGCTTGTTCCAACTCAAGTAAGTTATTGTCTCATAGTTTGTACCATTTTACATTTTACATTTTAAAAGAGGTGGAACTCTCTAAGTGGAGCTCTGTAGGTTGGTAACAACTTATTTTCCTTTGGAGTTACTTTTGGAGTGATTATTGCATTGAGAACTATAGATACTTTCCAAATATTAATTTTCTATGTATTGAACTTTTTTCGAAGTTGAGGTAGAGTAGAATGAAGAGTATTACCATTCCTATTCTTCTCTGGAGAGTTTTATTTCCCTTCTAATACATCTTAAGTATGAGATGTACCTGCTTTGGTTTTTGAGGAGCAATTAGTTATAAGGAAAAAGTAATATTTTCTTTTCCCTACTTTTTTATTCAGTTTCTGTGCTTTTCTCAAGATTCATTGCCAAAATATCTAACATGTCTTTTTAGTCATAAGGGTGGGCCTAGGAAGGTAACTAGGACAGTAGGAAAAATAGAAGTTTAGGTTTCAAGAATATAAATACACACACACACACACACACACACACACACACACACACACACACACACACATATACACATACATATATTTATATATACATAAAAATGTTTTTGGGAAAAGGAATAGAGCAACATGTTTTATCATGTGTTGTTCATAGAATGAGGTGCTTTTTTGTTTGCAACATATAAACATGTTTTTTTTTAAAATGTTCTTGAGCTTCTCATCTACTCAGCCCTAAATATTTCTGAAAACAGAGGTGTGATAGGTAATTAAACTTGCTACATTTTCCTTATTCTCTGTCATGTGGATACTTGGCACTGGGCCAGTTCTTTGCAGGGACTTTCATGGAAGTAGTTAATATTCTACAGGTCAAGGAAAGCGGGTAACTTTTGCTAATACTTACATGAGACATTTCTAAATCTTAAGTTTTTGCTGTGTTTCTTTTTTTTCTTTTTTTCTTTTTTTTTTTGGTCCGGTCGTGGGGCCTGAACTCTGGGCCTGGGTGCTGTCCCTCAGCTCTTCAGCTCAAGGCTAGCACTCTACCACTTGAGCCACAGCGCCACTTCCAGCTTTTTTTTTTCTGCTTATGTGGTGCTGAGGAATCGAACCCAGGGCCTCATGCATGCAAGTCAAGCACTCTACCACTGAGCCAACTTCCCAGCCCCTTGCTGTGTTTCTTTTAACTCTTAAAATCAGGTTACCTTGCTCTCTGAATCTCTTAGATTAACTTCATTTTTCTAATAATAGGATTAATGATTAACACTTGATAAAGAAAATGGAAAAGTCCTATGATTAAGGCCTAATGATTAAGACCGCTCTTTCCCTTTAAGCTTTATTTACATAACATATTTCTTTCTCAGTATTTGCAGCAATCTGTTAAGAATTAGATTATGTAATTCCATAATCCTTGGAAGATTGTATATATGGAGAAATGAAGTCAATGTTAAAATACTTGGCTTAATGAATAAGATAAATGCATTTTATATAGCTTAAATATTTTAACTTAAACATTATTCTGTATTTGGATTTATTAAACATAATTTTAAAAAGTATTTTCTTTTTTTTCTTTTTTGTCGGTTGTGGGGCTTGAACTCTGGGCCTGGGCACTGTCCCTCAGCTCTTCAGCTCAAGCCGAGCGCTCTACCACTTGAGCTACAGCGCCACTTCCGGTTTTCTGGTGGTTTTTTTATTGGAGATAGGAGTCTCACGGTCTTTCCTGCCCGGGCTGGCTTTGAACCGCGATCCTCAGATCTCAGCCTCCTGAGTAGCTAGGATTACAGGCGTGAGCCACCAGCGCCCGGCTTAAAAAGTATTTTCAAATAAAAGTTTTAGTGCCTAATTGTTTGTGGCTTCCTACAAATGGCTATGATACACTTTACCTTCTGTTTAGTACTAACTTTAAAATTTTGTTTTAGGATATAAAGCAAAAATATTTAATGCTATGATAGTTTCCTCAATTTCCCTTAGGTTTGTGATCTCATAGAAACAAGCAGGAATACACATTTCAGTAAATTTGTTAAGATTTTCATAAAAGGAACTTTAAACAGTAGTATCAAGCTTATTGCTATAACATTAATTTGTGTGCATATTGTTACAAAAGTGTAGGTAAGACATTTTTTAAAGAGCTTAATAGCTTATATTTCAGACCACTTTATTTAGAAATGATATCAAATTCAAGGCCTTAACAAATTTTGAAAAGGAAAGAAGCCATTACTATTTGTCAATAAGCTGGGATCTTTGATGAGTGTTCATCTGAGTTTTAGATGTTCGTTGCTATTGCTAATACTATTGCACATGATAATTTAGCACTTGCATTTCTGTCATGAATTTACATGAAATATATGAACAATTGAAAATTAAAAATAGATTTAAATTTTTTGATGGAGTAAGTTTCCACAGTCAAGCTTTGCTATGCAAAATACAGAGCAAAGCTGACTTTATGCTTTCCTTCTGTGGTAAACAACTATGTGGCAAAAGACATTGCCATCAATGTGGAACTTCACTTTCACTTCTGTTTATGAAACAATGTGTTTTTATAGTTTTTATACTGTAAGTCTTATTCTTGGTCAGAAGCTTATAACTGAGTTCTTCAAGACTGCTTAATAGCCATCATATTACAAATGCTTAGTTTTATCCTTTGTTCAGAAATAATGATAATTACATAAACATGTAATGGACTTTAAATGCTGTTCTAAGGTGTTATGTATAAATAACTAAATTATATAAAATATAAAAAACATAAATATATAGAAAAAAATTAATAGCTTCTAAATTGTGAGACTGTTATATAAGGTATTCCTTGAGATTTGTTTACAATAAATTACAGAATGGTGCATATGACGTGTTCTTAATAAGCGTCTCAGTTGATTCTGGTGTGGAAAGAACTGGTTTAATTTTACCTTACAGGACTGTGTATATAGTCCAGATATTTGTAAATTAAGATGTAGCAAAGCTCACAAATGTCACCAAGAACCCTCTGACACTGAAGGTTTACCTGAAGTGCGTATTCTGTCCTTCCCCTGTCTTCTCAGAAAACAGATGCCTCTGGTATTTCAGATAATTCACTTAGACTTACTGTCACCTCAAGAACATTGTATAGTCTAATTTATTTTTCTACTTTTAGATATTGAATAGTTTGTGTAACTACTAAAATGATCAGTAACATCGTCTCACATTAGCATCTTACAAAGGACAAAATAAAAGTAATCTAGGTCATATTGAAAATTTTATTGGTGTGTTTTACTTTAAAAACTTGATTTAGCACATTTTACAAATAGGTTTATAAATATGTGATTGTGTTATAAACTGAAATTCCTGGGTTTCTGCTTTTTTTCTGTCAGTGCCTGTTAGTTGGTTTAGACTTCCTTGAAAAGCCAGGAATATTGGATATGGGTGATATAATATGCATCTCATATTCATGTCCCCATATTCTGAGTTTAATTTCATGACTAGCTAGATAAAGATCATGCATTCTTACAATGGATTTTTGAAACATTCTTTCTTCACATCCCTTAAATGCTTTAGGATGTAAACATATTTGTCCCCTCCTAAGGACATTTGTTAAAGGCTGATTTGTAAAAATCTGGTCTATTTTAAAATGTCATGATCAATAAGCGTATCCTGGAAATTAAATGGTGGGTTTTTTTTTGGGGGGGGGGGAGGGATGTTATTTTTAATCACTAAACAGTTAATTAGGGTATTTTTTTATTTCAGGGGCATTTCTGACTTTAAAAGTTAATCTTGGGATATAAATACTTTAAAATCTGGCCTTCTAATTATGGCTTTTTTTTTTAGTAATATACAAATGTTTATTGTAAAATCTAGCACAAATGTGTCGAAAAAGGCAGTTGGCTGTTTGTTTTTTTTAATTGAAGCCATTTGTATTTCTTTCTAACTCATTTTAACTACTCTTTCTATCATTGTTTCATGATATCACTTCTTTTCCAATCATTCAGGGGAAAAGCATTAGAGACAAGGCTGGAGGTATGGCTCAAGTGATAGAATGCTAGTTGCCAGCCAAGGAAGCTGAGCAAATACCAGGACCCGAGTTCAAACCTTAGTGATACACACAGAAAAAAGACACTCATTCTGTTCTTAGCCCTGGTATTTATCATGTTGACTCATCTTTTTATCTTTACTGATCCTGTTGTAGTTAAGAACATTATTATATATATGAGGCTGAGGTGATTCCTGTAATTTCAGAGTGGGTTTTCCTGCTTTTATGTGTCCCTTTTCATCTGCATTATTGCTAGAAAAACATTTTATTTCTATGATTTTGTTGCTTCTGCTTAAAAATACATGGATACCAATCATCCATAGCAAGGGATACTAAGTTTAGAGCATGATGTGTGTATTCTCTGTATTTTGTGATTTGAATGAATAACCTGAAAAGGTTCATAGTAATTTGTATATATATTCCATTCACTCACTTGATTAGAAGCCCCTGAAAGAGAAAGTATATGCTATATAATCAGTGTTGTATTTTATATAATGTTTGTCTATAGTAACTATCCTGTAAGTGCTGAATTGCCAAGCTGAGTTGGTTGCGTGTGGACTTAGAAATAACATTATTCCCAGGGATTCCTTTAATAAACATTCAGGTACTTTAGGCCCTTACTTTGAGATAAATCTTGAGGCTGATTTTTTTGAGCATATACACAGTTGAATATTTCAGGTTTTTATAAGAGAATGATATTGTTAAATTCCTTTTGTAATCACAGACTGAAGACACATTCTGTCTCTTTACATTACCTAGGTAACTTTTCTTTTGCCAATGCTGAAACTACCAAAATCTAGGCAGATGCTCATATAATATACAGTAAGTAAACTAGATGCAAACTGGTTTTTCTAGTGACAGTGAGTCATGAATATGAGGGAAGTGATGGATTCTATTATTGAAAGTCTTAACTGTGGTTAGAGTTAATGTGGTTTCCATAAGTGTTTGCATTGCTTTCATAACTGTATTTGAGCTTACATTTCCTGCTTGTAAGATCTATATTTGTGCTGATAAAAATACCATCTTATAAAAAAGTGAATTTT